CTGATTGATAATAGATTTTCTACGTATGATTGATATATTTGGTTGCTTAGAGCCGAGCCTCCATCTCAGAAGAATCCATACAATTTTCTCAAATGGAACGAATTTATTACCCAAAGACAATTTAGTTACTGATTACAACACGATAAAAAAAAAAAACAATCATTCGTCATTGCCGTGGACTAGATGGTTGTTTTCGACTTTCGCAAAGAAGTGTAATTTAAGTATGAAAACTATGCGCGTGTGTTACAATCAAGCGAAGCGAAATAGGATTCAGATTCTGCTTTTGATAATCTTCGTACTCGCTTTTACTGTTTGTATATATTTGGGCATACAGTCAAGAACAACTATCGTCTACATGGAAGATGGAAAGTATACCACTAAAGGGATTTCAAATGATGTATTTCAGTATATTAAGGAAGTCAAGAGTTACGAGGCGAGTTCGGAGGGTACGGTTCAAGCTTCAAAATCATCGATTACGCGGCGCATTTCGCCGAATGATCTTGGCGACAAAGTCACTCTACTTCATGAACAAAAGCTTGAAAACGAAATAAAGGATGTCCCTCATTCGCTGCCCGGATTTTTAAACCACCATATATGGGAGCATGTGTGTGGCTATCGCGTTGAGAGTTTACGTGAGTTCATATTATTTCCACAGGCTCCTTCAAAACGTAGGACTTTATCAATGTCATCCGCTCAACGCAGTGATGAACACAACAATTTTGGTGAGCAGATATTTGGACTTATCTCACCTAACATGACAGGCAAGTATCAGTTTGCTATTTCGTCGAGTGGAAATTCCGAACTATGGCTGAGCTCCGACGAGACATCGGAGAACCTTCGGAAAATTGCTTTTGTCACTTCGGACAATCATCTGGGTAGAAGCCAACCGGGAAACTTTTCAAATACTCCGTCTCAAATTTCAAGTGCATGTTTCTTAACGAAAAACAATAGATATCTTATTAGCATACTACATAAACACAATGTGGGCAGAGCTCATCTGGACGTTGCTTGGCGTTTATTCGGCAGAGAAGTAAAATTTAATGTAATATCAAGCTTATTTCTTTGGGCTGTGGTTAATGACAGTCACGTGACTGATAATACTGTACAGATAAGCGATTACCAAGAACAGTTGCAACGATCACATGTCATGCACCCTCCGTTTGTTGATTCTGAGCAGATTAAGGACGTGTTGACCAGCTGCCATTATGAACCAAGTTATTTAGTGAAACACAAGCTGATTCGATTTCAGGTTAGTGATATGACAGACTCTGGGAGTGTCTTATTACTGGGATCCGGGGTTGGACCAAAATTCAGTGCTTGATTCGGGAAAACGTTGACGGGAAACGGGATTTGATCACAACCCGGGAAGCGTGTGTCTGGGAAAGAAAATGATTTTTAGGAAGAAAGACGTTCAGGATGCGGGATTCTCGTGCAGAGAGAGGAGCAGGAATGTAGGATCAGGACCCCCTCCCCCCATCCTCCCCAGCGGCCTTTCCATACTCATATATGATGGTTATATCAACGACAATAGGGAAAGTAGAGGTGGTAATGATAATGATAGTTATTTATGATGATGAGAGATGACTATGGTCGATTATAACAGTGATAATGGCGATTGTGAACCTTAGGAGAGACTGCTGTAGAAAAAGTCTTCCTTGAAAGGGCGAATGTTCGGCTAAGCCTGAGTCACCGTAATGGTTGAACAAAACAAAAATTTAGTCGAACTCAATCACAGACTCAATTACGCGTCTTTAACTAAAATTGTGCATAATAGTGATATGATTCGCAAGATGGCTGGTTAATCAATGCCTGACTGTCATTTCACACAAAAATCTTATTTCACTTGCGCTCAAGGTAGATTTTATTCAGCCACGAATTTGATAGTCTTTGGTATTAATTTTGTCTGGACATCATATCATTTACCACCACAGTTATGGTTTATTTAATTTTGTGGCAAAATCGAACGTCGGTAAATATAGTCAGACATTATTCGATGACCAACAGTTATTTACAGCTCTGTTATATTAGCCTCCCACGCGGACGTTCTTAGGGGTTCGTCACGCGTTCCTGCCCCAGCAGACGTTATTGGGGCAGGAACGCGTAAGGAACCCCTAAGAACGTCTGCTTGGGAGGCTATGTTATATTGATCAGTAATGGCGATGAAAAGTTCCGTTAAAAACAGTGACACTTACTTTGTGTTCGTTCCACCAAAGATTGAATTGTTATTTTACGGTTGCAGGGTGCTCGAAATAAAAGCAACACACATTTTGCTGCTGTGTATCCCGCGGACAGCACCAACAACACTCTGCCATTACTTGAAAACGAGGACATTTGGTGGTGGGAGAACGCCATCGGCAATGCCAGAACGGACCCAAATTTAGCCAAGGAAGTTGTTCTTATTTACATGGGAGCTTTGGAGGAGAAATTTCCTCGGTATGAAATATAATGTAAATATCCCTAGGGGACTAACAGGGAAAAGGGAGGTGCTCTTCACAATTGAGCCCCGATCGAACGGAAACCAGCACAGGCGTGGCTCGAACTCTACTTAACCTCTGGGAAGGGGCTTGAGCGGTTTAACTTCTATTCTACCCCTATTTCATACAGAGGTTCACAAACAATCCAGCGCAAATTTATAGTTTCTCTTAAATCTGATTTAGCTTGTATCTTGACCTGTTTTGTTGTGTATCTTTTTCTTTAGACGGTTTAAACTCCAGGAAATCGTTTCTGTGGAGCATGTACCCGACCCTCGGAAAGGGGATAGGTTCCTCCTGGAGCTACTGCTTACTGATAGCCGAACCGGGGGGCGGAACATTTTGTTGTCAGAGCACGTGTTTAGATCTTCAAAGGATAAAAAGTTGTACTATCCAGAAGGATTCTACTGGAAAAAACAAGTCACGGTCAACATCGTAGTACCTGTAAAGAACGGAGGTCGCTGGGCGCTGTACTTTATTAAGAATATTGCAGGTATTCATACACCAGCTATTCTAGGCTGTTCAGGAAGTCTTGCTTTATTTTTTCCTCTGTTTAATTTTATTTGCTGAGTAGACCTCCAAGGTTGTTAACCACGTCGTGTAAATTTAATAAGGTGTCCGAAGGGGCTACGGTCGATGGGAGCTAATGACAACCGTTTACCCTAGCCCCCACCTAGGCCATTGACAACCTCGTCCCGTCGTTAAAAATGGAAGGGGGAAATGCCCTGGGGATGAGGTTTGGCCATTGCTGCAAACTTAGCACATGTAGGCCATCATGTGCGCTGAGTTACTAAGAGCAGACAACTTTGCATATTTAACGATGCAAAATACATTAAGGATTTTGCATTTATTGTCATCCCCGAGATGTTAACTGTGACTGTGTCACTGTTCATAGAATCACAGCCATAAAGCAGCTTATTAGTTTCACCTTTGTCACATTTCCAAAACTCTAATCTCTCAGTCATTCACCAAGAGGGACAAATATTAAATATTCAACTATTTGTCAACACGCGTTTTAACGAGCCTATCGCTAAAAAACAAGTATTTGATAGAGACCTCACTTTCACGCCTATACTAGATCACGGCATTTTTACAGTTTTTTTGTCTCTAACAGTAAGAAAATGTAGGACTCGAATGGAAGTGTAAATTATAATTTCGCGGGAAAATCATTTCAGCATATACCTCTGAAAACGCAGGACTACCTGGAGTATAAGTTCCTGACGAAAACAATTAACGTAAAAGTTCCTTTTACTTGACGGCGAAAAAGCTAAAAATCATAGTGTCAGTGCGGATTCTGTGTTATCCATGTCGGAATAGAGTTATTTTTTTTAGGCAGTTCTTTTTCTCTTGAAATTTCAATCATTCACTGAGACGCATATGTTACAATTATGCCTGGTACATGAAATTGTTTCTTTTTTTTTTTCACAGAAATAACTCGTCAAACCAAGGACTTGAACGTTCGAGTGATCATAATTGACTACGAAAGCACTGACATTAACATAGAAGCAGTACTGAACAAGAGCTCCCTTCGGCAGTTTACTGTGGTGCGCATCCCCAGAGAAGAGGGCTTTAAGAGAGCAGTGGCCCTGCAACTAGGGGCTGAGGCAGTGAAGGACCCACATAGCGTACTCTTTCTGTGTGACCTTCATCTGAAGATCCCTTCTAATTTGATACCTACCATTCGCAAGGTAAGAGGGATTTAACTGGAAACAATATGTAAAACGTTTACCTAAATAGGTAAACTTAAAATTAAGGATGTTCTCTCTTAAAGCCACCGCACGCCTCTCCTAATTGAGACAGTGATGGTGATCGGTAAGAGTCGGGAGTTTCCTGTTTACTCCACAGACTACCCAACACTCAGTGAGGAACACGCGAGAAGCGCGAGAGGGGGATGATGGGAACGAGCGTAGAGCTCGAGCGGGGAGTTATGGGAAGGAAAAGAAGAGAAAAGGGACTCACTTCCTTCGTCCCCGCTTTGCTTAATAATTAACTCAAATATCCCACAAAAAGTTATCGCCGGCGACTGGGGACGAGGTAGGGGAGTTTCGACAAAACGATTGACTTATTCGTTAGCTGGGGATCTGCGAGCTTGACAGATATGAACCTATTTCTTGTTTGCATCTAACGTCACGGTGGCCATGCATATTGGTTGACAAAAACCAGTGAAACTTTCCTCCACTGGGAATTAACATAAGGGCCTGTTTAGGGTGGGGGACCCCAGATAGGTGAGGGAACATGTGGTGGGTCAACCCCACCTATCATGTCAATAAAGACGAAAACGGAAAGCGGAAATTGTTTTTTGTATCCGTGTTGCCTAAAGTATTAAGGTTAGATTAATTGTCATGTCCACAAATTTGGAATATGGAGAAAGAGAAAGACACAAAAGGAGAAAGTAGGCGACAGGCCAGTAAAGCTCAACGAGAAAAAGAGCGAGAGCTAGAGCTAGAGATAGAGAGCAGAGCTAGAGTGAATAGCGGCGGTGGAAAATGACAAATGCTAGCGGCCAACAAAGTGCACGAAAATGAGCGGCAGTGAAAAAAAAGTGAACAAGAACACGTAAGACATTTCCTCCATATAGTGTGTAACTAAGAAGTTTCTGGAAGTTTCACGTTGTAGTCGTGCAAAACAACGGCAAACAAATGTACAAAAACTTATGTGCTACACGTGCAAAATGGCTTTTTTGTTAACCGTTCTCGTTGCCTTCGCAGCTTAGCATTACACGATTTTATATTTTGTTTGAGCAAACCATTAATATTGTCGAGAGCTTCGCTTTAAGCCCTGGCTAAATCTACATATTAGACATGTCTAACGTACTTAACTACTTACCAAGCTTCAGCGGGGGGAAGGGGGTATCTTGATGATCAGCGATGTCCCTACCATGCAGTGTAGTTTGAATAAATGGCAGATTGTTTATAAGATTTGTGAATAGATGAGAAAAATGCAATACTCCGAATCCTTTACCCCCTTTAGACTTAAAAGCCCTAATATTCACAGACACATTCTCCATTCTAACCTCCTTACATCTCCTCAGAGAATAGTTGAGAGAATTTCAATTGATAAAAGATCAAAGCCTTTTTCCTTAAAGATCAGTTTTTTAATTTTCATGATCTTTCCTCTTGATAATTCATTGGAATTGTCAGGGGAATATTGTTGTTGGTCACAATTTAAAGGTTGAAATTGTATGTGGCTTTAATTACTGGTCCTAATAAAAAATAGGAATAAACTATTGTACTCCAGTTCTATAGTTATGTTCAGTGCTGGGGAAAGGGGGAGGGAAAAAAGTTATTTTAAGCTCAAGAGGAGGGAGGATAAACTAAAATTTCAAATAATTAAACATAAATTAATGTTTATTTTTACAACAAAATTTATAAAATATAATACATGTCTCATCTCGTCGGGCTCTCGAAACGATCCTTAACTGATATATCAGCAAAGGATCATCTCCAGAGATCCCGATGCTCAATGAAAGACTTCTGAGTCTCTTTGTCATTACGCTAGGCTAAATTAATTGACACTTCCACGTCTTTTTTGCTTAACAACAAATTAAAAAAACTCTATTATATTGGTTATATACAATAGAGAGGAATAACACTCGTACGTAAAACAACTTCACTTGTACGACTGATTGAAATTACCGAAAATTACATAATTATGAACTCTATATATCAGTCACATGTCGCAAAGCTCGGAAAAAGATTCCTTTTCTGCCAGTAGTTTCGCTAAATGATCAGCATATTCTGGGGAACATTCTATTTCATCTTCTAATTCCGAGTACCTCTCGATGACGTTTAAATCCAGCATCTCACTCAGCCCATGTTTATCCGCAAGATTGTTACCATTCGAATGTAAATCTGAAACACTGTGCCATTGTGTAGACTCCTTTTCGTTCATTATTTTAGTAATAAGGCGAGCGTGATCTGGTGAACTTTCCAAGTATGAAAACTTTTCAATCGTCTCCAAATCCAGCTCAAATTCATCATCAGACTCAACTTCTGATTCTGAATCAGAAACAGAGTCTAAATAATCAGCATGACCTAACGGTACAAGTTGAAGTTGTTCATCCATAGACAGTTGGTCTCTTCTCAATCTTGAATTGGTCTCTGGTTCGTTTATCTCCAACAAGTTTGCTAGCAGTTCCTCTGGTGTCGACGTAAGTTCTCTTTCAGCAAGTTGTTGTTCTGATGTATCTTTATCAAGCTGTGTTTCCTCTGAAGAATATATTGTGGATTGCTCGCTTTTAGGTAACGTCTCAGTTTCGATGATTGGCCTTAACAATCTGTGCGTATTTAGCTCTGGAGACAATTGCTTTGCCAACTGTGCCACTTGCTGCGATTTGGGTTGCACTTCTGTTTGACTCACTGTCTGCACGACTGGAACCATATAGGACTGTATAACTGGTTGACTCATTTCTTGCGTTAATGACTGTGTCGTTGACATCACGACTGGTTGTGTCACTGCTTGTACTTTTGACTGCATCGCTGCTGGATTGGCTGGTTGCATAGCAGTTTGTGCATTCAGACGTTGCATCACTGGTTGCATTACTGAAGGCGTAGCTGCGTATAGTACTTGTTGTGGAGTACCTGGTTGCATTATCCTTTGTTCAGCAGACGCCGTCTTTAACGGAAAAGCAGTTTCGCCAAAAACTCCCATTCTAGAAGCCAGTGGTCTCTTAGTATCCGCTATTTCACCATAGGGACTTACGAATGGCCTGAATCCAAACTTCACTTGCTGTGGTAAAGGACAGGTTACAGATCTTTCCATTCCAGTCGCTGGTGCTGACCATTTAGCCTTTTCATGCTGACAAAACGGTGTTGTCATTGGAAAGACTTCTTCGCTTACTTCCATTTTCTCTAGCTCTGTGACATGTACTGACTGTTCATCTAGTTCCATTTCTTCTACGGCTGATGGGATTGTGAATGGTGATGCAGGAAATGACGACAGGGGAAAAGGAAGAAATCTCCAAACTTTGGAATGTTCCTGTTCTGTTTCCATTTCTTCTATTTCTTGCTTTTCAGCCGAATTCGTGCTTGGGACTTGTACAAAACTGGAATCCCCTGTCACTGGACATGGTCCATAGCTAACTTCCATTGCCTCTGGCTTTGGAATTCTAAATGGTTTCTCAACAATCTCGCCAACCTCCATCGGCTCTGGCTGCGTTACAGTATCTCCCAGGACTAAATGAGATGTACTCAAGATGGGCTGCAGTCTGGTCTGGACATTCTTAAAACTGCTACCTGTATCACTTCCAATAATTTTCTCCCCTGCGCTTGACAGAGTAGCAAACTTAGTGTTTCTCAACTCCAAAGGATGCGGCTCCTTGATTCCTGTAGTTGTGTTTGGGACGGCCGTGTTTATTTTGAATTGAGAGATGAATGAAGCAGGCGTTTGCCCGTCAACGGAAGTTCTTTCCTTCTCGATGTATGGCCGCTTTCCTCGAGAAAATGGAAGATCTTCCGCGTTCTGTATTTCAACCGAATGCCTGTTGACGCTGTTACAGGCCCTGATAACCTCGGATTCTGCATTAACATTCACTGAAGAAAGTGTAGTCCTAATGTCTTTACTATTAGCGACTCTGTTAGGTCTCTCTTTTGGCTCACAGGTAACTGTTGGAGTTAAGGCTGGTGTGTCTGCACAGGCAGATGATATAACGCCGGAGGTTGGTGCATCTGTGCAGGTGGCTAATATAACTGGGACTGGTTTATCTGTGCAAGTAGCTGATAATGCTGAGCTTGGTGTATCTGTGCAGGTGGCTGATATAACTTCCCTCTGTTTCTTCGTTCTGTTCACAGCAACTTTAGAAGATTCATCACCACTGGAGGGTAGCATTGATAGTAATGGTTCAGAGTCCTTTAACTTGCCTTTCGATGATTTTTTCGAATGCTTCCTTTTAAGTTCTGACAGGTAGAGTTGCTGACCAGTACTTGAAGAAGTGCTCATCTGGACCGTCTTTACAGTGGACCGCGAGTTTTGCTTATTGTTGTTGCGTTGCAAGGACTCGTTGGTGTGTGAATGAAAGTCTTTACTGTTGCGTTGTGATCCGGGTTTGATTATTGGATTCTTTTTCTTGTTCGAGTATTCGGAATAACGAACATGCTTTGATGTGCTTGATATACCACCTGCTCTGACGGTTGAAAGATTCCCAACACACTTCTGGTCATCTGTCAGGGCAGTTGCTGATTCTAGTTGATGCGCAACATTATCATCAGTAGACTTGTTGTCTTGCGGGACTTTCCTGATAATCGACGAGGCGCGGGTCATTTGGGGGGAAGTATTTCCTTGCTTAGCAGATTTGTTTGCGATAAGCTGCGAGACTACTTCACGTATGTGTGAGGTAGATGTTGCGACTGCAGATCTCAATACTCTAACTCCACTTGTGAAAGGACTACATATTGCACGGCCTGTCTTACACAGCACTCTAGTCATAACTTCCGTGGTAACTTTTCCGTGACTTTGTATGCTGTGTGTTAAAGTTGCCTGAACTCGGATAGTGTCTAAGATCGCGCTTCTTGTTGCGCTTACCACAATCATTGAGTTACGAGCTAACATTTTAGGACTGTTCTCTATGTTTCTCAGCTGAGCATTAACGAACCTGAAATATCCATTCCGAACAATATCAACCACTGCATTGGCCATATCCATCAAAATAAGAGAAATTTTTCTAATTTTCTGATTCCTCTCTATTTGCCATGAAGAGTAAATACAAATTGACTTCTTCGCGTCGTGGACAAAATTCGTCATTGTTGTAGACGCAGCCATCAAGATGCTGTTAAAAAGTACTTTGTTTTTTCCCGTGCTATTCTCGCAGTTTTCTTGCTGCACCGTGTTAGTGTTCAATATCTTTGTACCTGTCTCAGGTGGATACTCGCCAGTCTCGTTACTATTGCAACAGTCTTGCCGTTGGTGAATTGCAGGGTTTTTCGTTTCCGCATTTACATCGACAGACCACAGCCGCACAGAACGTGTTTTCAAGATCGAAGTTGGGGAGTGGTTACCCTGTGGCTTTGTCATCTGAATTTGATTAAGCTGTTTATAATGATCAGTCAGGTCGCAACTGGTATTCTTGTTCTGATCATAATAGTCCAGTCCCCGGTAATTGCCGATCGAATTCAAAACAGTTTTAGGAACAACGATTTTCTTTTCAATATGCCCTCCATATTGATTGGGCCTTAACTTTACACCATCCTTGATTCTCTCATTTCTTTTTTCCAGTTTGTAGTTATTTTCATCCTTGTTCTGAAAATCAAAATACAGTGTCCGTAAAGAGTTGGTGATACCTGTGGCCACTTGGCCTGTCCTTCGTGAAGCATGATTCTTTGTAACACGTTCTTCATCACTTCTCGTCTGATTATTGCTGATAAAAGGATCTGGAAATCTCACGCTGTTTGTCACCGCTTTCTTTGAAATCTCCTTTTCTTTGAAAGGTTTTTTGTTCTTCAACAGGCTTGTTGTCTTGACTCGACAACTTTCAGGGCTTTTAGACGTAACGGTCTCGGTGTCATTGCCTTGGATGGTAACGTTAATTGTCTTCTTTGTCCCCTGCTTGGTCGCAGTGTTAGTTTTCAAAAACACAAATACCCACCGACCGCAAGCACAGATCCTGTTTGCCGTCCATTCCAATACTTTCATTACCACCACAAAAATGCGGGAAAAAAACAAAGCGACTATTAAAAACACATTGTAAAAGAAACACTTAACACTATCCATCTTTGATTTTTTCTGTTTGCAAATCTCTGAAGAAATTTCTTCAATTCTTCGCTTGTGACGCTATTCTATGTCGATTGTTTCGTCATTTGGAGATCGAACGTGCGTCATTTTACGCGCGCGCTCTACTTAACTAATCGCGAGATACGAGGAGCCGAAGCGAAAGTTTATTGAGATATGCTCATCGCTTATTGGCGGCTATGAAATTTAGTGCATCCTTTTTAAACCCTTTTTTCTTTGTATTATTGTTACGCTTATTATTATTTTTTTGCGTACAAGGGAATAATTTAATTACAACGATTCTCTTATATCTGTTCCCCAGGTAGGTACTTGTTATATGACTATTACTTCTTAGTAAAATCCAGCTAGTGGTCTATTATCAATGCTGCGTTCTGATTGGTTGAGCTACTACTAGACTATACGTTACAGCCCACTAGTAGCGAAAAGCGCCGGCTTTTTGGCGACAAAAAAGGATTAAAGTCTAACTTTAACTAGCTAAATTTTTTTATTCTCGATTATTTTGACCAACTAGTTGGATTTTGCTAAAACAATATTACTCCTCTCGCCCTCGTGGCCTCTGAGTCAATAGCCCATTCGGCCGGCTATTGACTCAGAGCCAACTCGGGCTCGAGGAATAATTGTTAAATATTTAGCCATAACTTGAAGTGTTTCAACGTTTACTGTTTCGGGAGAAAGTACTTTCAAACGTTTAGAGTTTTTTTTTTGTGAAAGAATAGTATTTAGACACTATAAAAAGATAACTGTGCACATGTGAAATTAACGACCAAAATAAAGTCGAAAATTTTCGGTAGTCTTCGGACATCTACGGAAATCTTCGTCCGTTTTTGGGAATCAGTTCGGTAGTCTTCGGGAATCTTCTGAAATAATCCAGAATCGTCGGAGAATGGCCAAAAACTCTTTGATATACTGAACAAAATAATTCTGGTCTTCTTTGAGCCGTTTTACTGTTACCGTCAGTTTTTTTACTGCTATTATTAAAATGCCTAAACTTTACCTGTTTCATGTTACAAAACCAAAAAAGTGTTTAGTGTTATCGAACTACCCCAATTCAGACACTGTTCAGACCTTTTTGGAGTAAGGAACGCTCATAACATACCATATTACTCTTTGTTAATCACTCAAAATTTTTCATAAGCATTGTTTTCAGTTTCTCTTAGGAATTAAAGTGGCCCCAAGAGAAACTGAAAACAATGCTTATGAAAAATTTTGGTGGTCAGCAAGTACGCAAATTAATTGTAACAAAAGAAAGTTTTTACGTGAGAAAAAAGTTCAGCTCCTACAGGGCAGGTTTGGAACACTAACTACCTGTGAACCATGTGCCACTAACCGTTAAATCATGTTTTGTACACTCACCAGCACTGTATCGAGGGAAAGATGGCGTTTGCTCCGGTAGTAAAAAGGCTCAAGTGTGGATATTACCCAGACCTACCATTTGGTTACTGGGAAACCCTCGGGTTCGGCTTATTAGCCATATACAAGTCTGATTTCGACCGCGTAGGAGGAATGAACGTTCGAGAATTTACAAAATGGGGAGGGGAAGACTGGGACCTACTGGACCGAATTCTGATGTCTGGATTGGAGGTTGAAAGACTCAAGATCCCGGATTTTTATCACTTTTTTCATCCCTCATTTGAAGGGAGTAATCAAAGAGTTGGCGCTTGACTTTAATTTTTGAGGACTGCGAGCTGAAAAGTCTACCACTTCGGAAGAGACGTACGCTTAAGTAATTTTCACGCACTGGTACTTTCTAACGCAACTTTTTCTTACAACGGTTGTTCTCTTCTGAGGCATAATTAAGCTCTAGATGAAGGATTATTGAGCGCAATGATGTAAGTATGAAAACTTTGAAACTTTGACACTGGCTTTTCAACAATTTAAGCAGAACTTCAACTCGAGAATTCCCTTTCCACTTTGCGATTCATCAAAAATGATAAGCGTCGATGTCATCATATTATCTGGTATGATATTCTGTAAAGATTTACTAGGGAACTAAACGACAACATAAAAGAACTTGCTATAAACTGTGCTGGGTCTGTCTTTTAACATCCTTAAAGTTATGGCTCATTATAATTTATAACATAGCTAGAAAATTTCCCGAATCAAATTCAATAGCGTGAGCGTGCTTCATATTCCTGTTGAGCACCCTGATGACGTCAATAAATTATTCGTAATTCCTCGAGTTGTTCTGAGCTTACCAATCCTGAGTCTCCTGAGTGCATCCATAACTCGGCAGTACACGATAAAGCGTTTAACATGTGTTTCATATGGAAATTTAAGAGGAAACGTTTGAATCTGTTAACCGATAGTAAGGAAAAGAGGTGAGTGTTGTTGTTGTTGTCATCTCCGCGAGCTGTGCGGGCTATGGCGTGAGATCATTCTTTGCAAAGTTGTTTTCTCACAATAACAATTTTTCGGTGAATTAATAGTTTTCCGGCACCTAAATATGGATTTTACAATCATTCTAGAGTACACTTTCTGTCAGTTTCAGGATAAAAACAGAAGCTTAACTGTGAGGAAAAAAATATACTCAGGTAAACATTGACGCGTACTGCTTTGAGCGCACCCTACAATAATAAAATTTTAAGTTAACTGATGCATTGATCGCTTTGATAATGTTATAAAACAATTAGTTCATGCTGCAGCTGTGCGTATGTCGAGATATTGAGCACTTGGGAAGTTTGGGGAGCACTCAAGAGGCTAGAGTTGCACTCGGCTGCGCCTCGTGCAACTCTTACGCCTCTTTCGTGCTCTCCAAACTTCCCAAGTGCTTAATATCTCGACATACGCACGCTAACGCATGAACTAATTGTGAAATTGCACATCTATAGCGTTGTCCTAGAAACTTGACAAAATCAAGAGACAGCCGCTTAACACGGGACATTTAGATTTTAAAGTCCACCACCCTTGCAAGAACAACGCTGCCACCCAGCAGCTTTAAATGTTGCACGATTTCGTCAGCCTGACCTGCGAATTCTTCTTTTTCCAACTTTCACATGAAGAAGTGAAAAATGCGTTCTACCCGGGATAGCTTATAGTCCCCAGGGAAGTAGTATCCGGTCTCCGCAATGAAANACGTTTGAATCTGTTAACCGATAGTAAGGAAAAGAGGTGAGTGTTGTTGTTGTTGTCATCTCCGCGAGCTGTGCGGGCTATGGCGTGAGATCATTCTTTGCAAAGTTGTTTTCTCACAATAACAATTTTTCGGTGAATTAATAGTTTTCCGGCACCTAAATATGGATTTTACAATCATTCTAGAGTACACTTTCTGTCAGTTTCAGGATAAAAACAGAAGCTTAACTGTGAGGAAAAAAATATACTCAGGTAAACATTGACGCGTACTGCTTTGAGCGCACCCTACAATAATAAAATTTTAAGTTAACTGATGCATTGATCGCTTTGATAATGTTATAAAACAATTAGTTCATGCTGCAGCTGTGCGTATGTCGAGATATTGAGCACTTGGGAAGTTTGGGGAGCACTCAAGAGGCTAGAGTTGCACTCGGCTGCGCCTCGTGCAACTCTTACGCCTCTTTCGTGCTCTCCAAACTTCCCAAGTGCTTAATATCTCGACATACGCACGCTAACGCATGAACTAATTGTGAAATTGCACATCTATAGCGTTGTCCTAGAAACTTGACAAAATCAAGAGACAGCCGCTTAACACGAGACATTTAGATTTTAAAGTCCACCACCCTTGCAAGAACAACGCTGCCACCCAGCAGCTTTAAATGTTGCACGATTTCGTCAGCCTGACCTGCGAATTCTTCTTTTTCCAACTTTCACATGAAGAAGTGAAAAATGCGTTCTACCCGGGATAGCTTCTAGTCCCCAGGGAAGTAGTATCCGGTCTCCGCAATGAAACCTCCATTTAACTGTTACTCCCTACTGAACAGTCATAAGGGCAACTTTATTGCACCCGGGGGTGGGGCAGTGGGGGGGGGCGGGGTACTCAATAAAGTTACCGTGAGGCTCCGGCCCGAAATCTAACCACTTACCCTTTTAGTATAAACCATTTCTGACAGAAAAGGTTTCCCTTTCGTACACCTTTTTATGACAAATGGTGCCCCTTTCACGTTATCTCGATTAGAACTTTAACCATCAAACTTCAATAGAAGTAGTGGGGAGAGTTTATTGAAGTATCAATTAGATTCATCTCGTCTGATCATGTCCTTAATTCTCATGACCACTCTGTTTTATAAAGCAGTGATATTACAAGGAGAAATTTGACGCTGATCACTCTTAGGGCTTAAAGCGTTAACTGCACTGTCTTTTAAATATGAATAAAACACAAAACCAGAACGTCTTCTCAAATTTTTCACAGCCATAAAACACATTTTTAGCCGGCCTTTTGGGTCTTTTTACAATCCGAAAAGTCAGATGTCCCTACCCTTTTCATATTTTTAAGTTAGTGTGAAAAAGGGACCTCTTTCGGGTGGAGCCTCCCTGTATAGGCCATCATAGGGAGAACCCTCCTGGGGACTGAACATTGGCCCTAGACTTGAGCAACTGGAACTATCCATGATCATGTTCTCTTAATAGACCTTCAAAGTGCAAGAGATTGTGCAGTCAAGTTTCATTGTTTCAATCTAAATTAAGGGGATCTTTACTTTCATTGTCTTCAGCCCGTTTCGAGAACATCTGCCAATGTTTTGGGGAAAGCCTCAAAGATTAAAAATAATCTCAAACAATACTCAGTGATTAGGCAATTTATTTACTGTCGTGTAGTCCTACAAAGCAGCAATTCTCTTTTCATCATCAGAAAGTTGTTTTAACTGTCTGTGAAAAGTTTTTTTCAGACCACAGTTTGGACAATTTTTGCAAAAGATTACTTAACAATTATCCAAAAATATACAAAAATTAAAGCAAAAATTCACTTCTCCTTCCATGAAAGTGCAAAGTAATCAGCCTCGGACACAAGTCACTACAAAAAGATTTCCCTCTTAAATGCTTTCTAACTCCCATTCACAAGAAATCTTGTTCACAAGCTATGCACAATGTTGACCTCCATTTGACTGGCGCTGTGGTCAGGGGCGGGGGGGGGGGGGGGGGGACTAAAAAACTAGACCTTTTTTTTTCCCTTTTTTTAAGCCAAAAACTTTGGGTCCCCAAGACCGTGAGGGCCCCCTTTTTTGGAAAAAAAGTCATAGGTTGTTTTTTTCTTCCAAAAATTGTGAACTGTGATATTTGGGGTATTTTTTTTTTTGTTA